TTTCGTTTATGGAGAATATTAGGAAACCCTACGATGAGACAAGGGTTGGGATAGCTTTGATAGCAAACGATACCGGAGGAAAACGCCCAAACCACAAAAGAAACATAAAAACAAACTTTTATTAATATAAAGATAGTGTTATAACACATACAAACTAAAAATAACATCACTAGCACATAAAACGACACAAACAACACGTTGAAAGTGCATCCCAAGAGAGGTGGAGGTCGGCTAGGTGGGTTGGGATGTTTGGCAAGGGTGGTGGCAACAAAGGAATGCTGATGGTAGCGAGAAGGTGCAAAATTGCAGGGACAACAAGGTAAAATGCAAGGGGATGGAGCGACGGAGGTTGGGAAAGGGGATTAGGAGTGATCAGAGGCTAGCAGGAAAGAAGAGGGTTGGATGGCCAAAAAGGGAGGAAGATACATCACCACCTTAGAGTAGGACCACCTCCTCGGATACAGCCCGAAATGGGGAAAATGACTCAACACAGGAATCAGGAATCTGAAATCAACACACAGCAAAACTATTTCCCAACTCTGAGAACAACAACTAAATATACTCTTACATGAAGAAGAAAGTAATGAGATAAAGAAGAAAACTCCCACACAAAAGGAAGGGGTGGGGAGTCAAAAAATATTCAGAAATTAACCCTAAAAATACTGCCAAACGAAAAAGGCACAAAGAAGGAGAGGCGATGCTGCCCTTTTCAAGTGCTCGATCCAAGAGGGAGATGCAAAAGGAAGATCGCCTTGGCCACTCGATCATTTTGGAAACTTGGACCGGCCCCCATGCCAACCAGTTTGGCCTACTCTTGTTTTCTTGCATCAGGGCGTGCAGTTCTCGCACCCACATCAATAGCAAGAAGGGGGAAAGCCCCGTGTCACTTTTACTACGGCCCCAACCAATCATTAGCTTCCATCTACTGTTGATGCTCTCTTTGTAACACTCAAATTTCAAGAAACCAAATAGAGTTTGGCACATTTGAAAAATACTCCAAATTTTAGATCGCTCGTAATTCAATCGAAATAATTTTATTAAATTCTACCTAAGAAATCGATCAATTCTATATAAAACATCATGCATGAATTGTTAACAGATTTGGAAATATTAAATTCAGAAGTTATATTTTTTAACATAATTAATCCTTAATTATAATCCTAATGAAGGAATTCATGTTCTCAACCGACCTTCACTCTTGTTAGTTGTTATTTTCGGTTGATTAGGGCTTCCAAAGCTTTGATGCCCTTCCCCCTCACCCGAATTTCTGCTGTCTCACTTGGTTCCCTAACGTGGTAGCTTGATCCGCTAGCTCCTATGCGATCTGCACTGTATTAGAGTTGCGTTCTATAGCAGTCGCGCAAATTGGGCACAGGGCCAAGTGTCGCACAGCACAATCCAGAGTTATGTGGCAATTTCTATAAGTGTGAATCCCTCTCTCACGTCATTTGAGACATTCATTTCCTTCCACACTCTTCCATTTTGACATTTGTCTAGTTCTTCGTGTTTTTCTCGTTTTCAGTAGCCATTGGATGCGCTGATTTTGTGCAAAAAGTGTCATAATTGATGTTGTGAGCTTCAAAAAATATTTTAGCATGAAATCAACAAGAAGTAAGGTTTTATATGATAGGAAGGATGAAAAGTGAAATTTGTGATTTTGAAAAGGTGAATTTATGTTGAAAAGTCCATTTAAGGTAAGTTTTGGCAAGTACATTTTTGGGTTAATACAAGTTATGAGCCAAATTTTATAAAATCTTATGTTGTCTACGAGCCCCATGATGTCTATAAGAAGCAAAGAGCTCGAAACGAGCGAGTGAGCACTCATTATAGGGCTATTCAATCAAGTCAGGTGAAATAATCTTGTTAATTTAAGAAAAAAATCTTTTATAGATTTTCATATAATTTCTATTTTGATACAGATACATTTAAAACTTCTTGAATATTATAAATGTATACAAGCAATTGAAAGTATAAATGTACGTTCACTTTTTTTACAATACATGTAATATTATGATTAGGTTATATATATATGACTATGCATATGATATGAATTTTCAGCATTTATTCACTTGTTATATTTCATGCATATGCCTATAATAATGTAATGACTGATAGATGTTTGATGTGAGGGTTGATGATTTAAATGTCACGAGTAATAATAAAGGTAGACTATCATGAGTGTCTGATATTTATAGGGGAACAAAACTCTGAGAATTATTAGAATTAGACGGTGACAGAACATTAGAGAACCGTGACTATCAGGAGAGCTATCGATAACTGCAATGTTGGAGGAAGCCCAACATTTATCGATAGTTTACATAGTCATTAGGGCAGAGAGACGACCCATGATGAAAGGACATGACAATAGTCGATTCTTAGACATTAAATAAATAGCATTACTATGAAATGATATTGCTATGATTACATACTATAAACAATCTACGAACATGTTTATGAACATGTTTTTGATTATACTTATCATTTCATGTTTATGGTCTATATGTTACATTGCAGTCTTGATTTTTATAATGTCTGTTCTCATTTCATGTTCTCTATCATGCTAACATGTTACTAATTGTATGTGCAAACAAGTAAATTTTCCTATGAGCATGCATGTTGCTTCTTTTTCATGTATAAATTTTTATGTTAACCCTGATTATTTTTTTGAACTCGTTGCTCATTTTTCATTATTGTCTTCCAAGTAGGGGCAACGAGCACCGGGTGAATAGCCAAATGTGTCTTTGTACAACTTTTGCACAATAGTTTTGGGAGCATGTACATATACTTGGGTACATATTTTTATTATATTGGATTTAGTAGCTCTGTATAGTTATCATATTTTTTATGATATGATTTTCATGTTTTCGAGTATGTATATGAAATATAATATATCACATATATTGCGGTGATCTAATTAGACTAATTTATCATCCACTGAGTCCTGATTATATAAATCAGGACGAGCGCTTGTGAGAGTTGGTCTGACCAAATTGTCAGCTTTTGTCGCACTACAATTGACCCCACAGAGGAGGTTAGTTGGGGTGCAACAGCCTTAGCAGGCCCAACCTAGAAAGCTGCTGTCATGGATGAGATGAATGCCCTTCAACAAAACCATCTCAACGAAACCATACATGTAACATTGTTGATCTTCCTCGGAGCAATAAAGCAGTGGGATGGTGATGGATTTTTAGCATCAATTTTAAATCTGATGGTTCCTTGAAACGCAACAAAGCACAGTTAGTCGCTAAAGGGTAATCGCATGCCTACAGAGTTGAGCATGAGGCATTTGCTCAGTGAACCTAGATTGACCCTTATTCCAGTTTTATGTCAAGAATGTGTTCCTGAATGACAATCTTATAATGGGGGTATACATGACTCTTCCTCCAGGCTTTGACTCCACTGCCTCCTAAGGGCAAGTACGAAGGCTGCTAAAATCCCTCTATGAATTGAAGTAATCACCATGCGCATGGTTCCAAAAATTCACATAGGTGTTGGTAAGCCATGGATTCACTCAGGCTCAATCGGGTCACACTTTCTTCTTCTAAAATTCCTCCAACGACCAGGTAGTTATTTTTATCGCTTATATTGACAATATTGTTCTCATAGGTAATGATCTACCAACATTGGAGTCTCTGAAATGCATTATTGTTGCTTTCTTTAAAATGACGAACTTTGGATCTCTCCGGTACTTTTTAAGTACGGAGTTTGCTCGGTCATCTGAGAATATTTGTCTGTCTCAGGGGAAATATGTGATTAACTTCTTGACAGATAACAACCTTCTCCTGTGCAAGTCAGTGGTTTGTCCAGATGAATCTCAATGAAAAATTTCTTGACGTTCCCAATGCAGTTCCTGTAAACAGGACTCACTACCAACACCTTGTGGGGAAGCTCATCTACCTCGCTCAAACACGCCCCGACATTTGTCAAGCGGTTGGAATAATCGATCAATTCATGCATGATCCCTATGAGCACTATTTCCAAGTTGTCTACAGAATTCTCCACTATTTAAAAGACACACCGAACTCAGGTTTATTTTTTTCCAATCATACCTCTCGTTCCGTCCATGATCAACGGTTTACCTTAGGGTACTGCTCATTTGTTTAGGGAAATCTGGTCACATGAAAAAGCAAGAAGTCGTTTGTGGTTGCTCGGAGCAGTGTGGAAGTCGACTTTCGGTCTCTGTCCCCAAAAATTTGTGAAGTTTTTTTGTTACGCATCATGCTCCACGAACTATGTATGACAGTCTTTGCTCTCCTAAAGTTGTTTTGTGATAATAAAGCGGTCATTAGCATTGCTCACAAACCAGTCCAGCATAATCACACTAAGTATGTTAAGATTGACTAACACTTCATTAAAGAAAAACTCGAATCCGAGGAGATTTGTATTCCGTTTGTGTCATCTAGTGGTCAGTTGATAGATATTCTCACAAAGAACCTTCATAGGCCACTATTTGACGGTTTTAAATCCAAGTTGAACATGACTGACGTCTACGCTTCAACTTGAGGGTGAGTAGTAGAATATTTATTAATGACAGTTTTAACCATTATTAATTCATGTTCATTCTGAGTTATTACCTTGGATTTTCTATTATTACTTTCATTTTCTACTATATCATGTTTTTATTTCTTTCCTTTCTAATAGATCCTGTAATTGCTATTTATTCCCCTCTTTGCATCAATAAGATTTACCTTGGGTTCTATTCTAACATACCACGTAGTTTCCGTTATCTTATGTAAGATCATTATACTTCACACCCGCCAAAGTGATATGTTGCAGTAAGGTCTATGTCAGAGTAATAGCACAATGAGAAGGAGTGCAAGGATAAATAACAAGAATTTTATAATTTGAAAAAATAATTACTTGAACAAGAAAACTTAAAACATTTTCCTTCTTCGCTATTTATTCTGGATGGCAATGAGGGACGGCTTATAAAGTTTCCGTCTAATAATCCATTATGATAGTAATGAATTTGATGAAAAAGCTTCAATTTTTTAGCTTACCACTTTTTGGAAGATAGATTTGAGGATGATACAGCTAATATTGTACAATCAAAAAGCTTAATGGTAGTAGCTTGAGAACCATCTGGATCAGATAAGATTAACAAGTGGTCTTTGATTCTAGCATGCTTCTTTATAGGTTGAACCTGCACAGTACCTTTCTTCCCTTTCAGCTCCTTAGGTCCACCAATTTGAGTTTCATTTAAACAAACCTTTGGAACATCTTCTGGCTCCAAAAACCAAACTATTCCCTGATAATGATGAACAAGAATAAGCTCGAGAAAATATCAAAAAAGATCAAAATACTTACAAATGCGACTAAGACTATGTCTCATTGAGAAAAAGGGGATAAAAAGCACAAATGTCATAAAATCAGTAAAATATGATGTAAAAGTTCAAAATGCAAAAAAAGGGTACAAATGTGTCCATAAACATGCACATGCACACATGTTCTAGTGAATCATCCATCTCCTCTTAGATCTGGGCTGCCACATAAAAAGGATATTGAAAATACGTTGCGTTCGTAAGAGCGAGAAGCATCATACAAAGTATAATGATGCACTAACATGGATAAACTGAATTTAATAAAAATGCACAATAAAATGCAATAGTTTAGAACAAAAAACATATTAATTTGGATCATATCAATTAAGTTCAACAAATAAGCACAAATGTAGAGTAATGGAATTCTACCATTGGATATACAAACTTTAGTATGCTACATCTGAAATATGAACCATACAATAACACAACCTCCCAAGAGCAAGCAATGCTATTCAAAGCCATATGACTTCTCAACCTATCATTCTAAAATTCTCAAAAAACAAATCTACTGGTTTCATATTTCGACATAATCCTCACTTACGGCTCACAATAAATTGCTCAAAAAAAGAAATAAATATATAAAACAATACATATCAGCAAGTTAGCCCAGACAATTTTGTTGTTTAAATTCCAGCACGTAACCGCATAAACAACCAGAATCCCAAACAAGCTCAAAACGACGAATGCCGATTACAAGGAATCTGAAAGATGACACAGCCAAAATCCAACTCAATGTACCGTCCCTCACCTGCTTATTACGCGCAGAGGCGACCCATTGCTCGGAGTCGAGTTCAACGGGTTCCCGCTGCGGCTCAGGCGCCCCTATCGTCTTCCGGCGTAGCCGAACGATGGCTATGTACAACGCCAAACCCTCTGCAGCCAAAACAAGCAAGGATCCGAGAAGGAAACCCAGAACGAGGGCGAAGTACGCCATCGCCGAGATCGCTAATAAATTTACGACGTATTAAAACATTCCGCGAAGATAATTAGCGATCGCCAAGGGAAAGAAAGAAAAGGACGAGTTAGGGTTACTTCAGCGCAGTGATTGCGGAATCAAACGAGCGAGGAATCCAAGCCACGCGATTGATTCGGTTTATCTTCGAAGAACAGAGAGGGAGGAGGAGAACAACATAGTTCCGAAGCGATTCGACTTCCCCACCTGCTCCGTTTGTGTAACTTCTCAGCCGGCGGGTTGCTTCGAGGAAATGGTAACCGCAGAACTTAGAATCCGTCTCCTGTTGTGTAGCCGTCAATGCAGCACAGACGGCGAACGGAAGGGGCACAGGCCACAGGGAAGGCTACAGTTTATGCTTCATTTTTTCTGATGGTAGAATAAGAAGGGAAGATCTTGAATGGCAAGAAAGAAAAGGTGAAGGCGTACGAATGAGAGAGACAGTTGACTCACAAATATATAAGAAAATATTTGTTTCCGATTAATTATTTGGGACATTTACATACATGCAACCATCTGTATTTACATATCAACAAAAAATATTTATTTTTTTTATATTTTACCAAATATATACACTAAAGCTATCAATACGAATCTAAAACAAGCAAACCGCCAAAAATAAAAAGCTTGCCCGAAGATAAACACCACTGCCAAAAAGATGAATTCTCTAAACTCGGGACAGGTCAAAGCTCCAGAGATGGTTCATCGCTCGATAGCAACAAGAGCAAGACATAACTCATCTTAGTAGCAATTCTCATCGGATTCCTCGCACATGCAGCAATAAGATCTGTTTAAGACCTTGCAAATAGGGGTATCCGGCTAAGGCGATGAACTGATCAGGTAAACGAGACATAGGTCACGTAAAACTTAAGCCAAAGCACCAAGTGAGTCACGTTCATCCGATAAAAAAAAATTGACTCACCCGCTGACCAACCGAAGCGCAGACAGAAATCCCCTGATCGCGATTAAACAATCAACTTGCTTTTGTTGCGGCAAACAAGATCGTCGTTCGGTCGAACGTCTTGGTTAACCAAACACAAGGCACGGTCGTTATCCAGTCAATTGTCTCAGTCGACCTCATTCTAGTGAATCGATTAACCAATTACTGTCATATTAAAATTGAAATTGTAATACAGAGATGAAATTAAATATATACAATTAATCAGAATATTAATTATATTAAGAAAGGTTTCCATAAGAGTTCAATCATTTCTGTAGTTGAACAAAAATATTCGTATAAATAAAAGACAAAAGGACGACCGAAAAGGGGTAATCATTTGGACTCCCCCGGTTCTCTCCTTAGTAACTCTCGGTTCACTTTATTCTCTCATTTACTCGACTCTAACTCTCGAGACATGTTCACAAAAGACAATCTGGGATTCAACATCCTAGAAGATGGTGTGGTGAGAGTGGACATGCTCTAGACGAGAAGCATGGCTAACAACAAATGAGAGACATCCCAAGAGAGACAACACACAGGGAATCCAATAAAGTCGCTACACAACCAAACGTACATGTGCAGATCCATGGCTTACAAGCCCACATGACCCTCATGATGGAGCACTTTGAGGTCCGCTAAGCAGCAATCACCTAGAGGAACGATCACACACCTTGCTTAAAAGCAAAACCCAAGGGGGTTCGTCCAGAGAGGCCCCCACCAGGGAACCCGCCTATCCCGCACAATCAGGTTAGCAACCAACAAATATAGGGACAAGGCTATTCCCAACTCATCGACACAGTTGCATCTGTGCAGGCGAATAGACGATGTGAAGAACGAATGTGAGTGCCTGTCCGGATGCTCGCAGAAGGGGCCTTTACTTGTAAAATAAAAAAGGCTATACTTCTTCTAAAGTTAAAAATTCCTCTCATGAATTCATACAGAGAGAAGAATGACCTGATCAACCACGTCGCATCGTTTGAATCATTCGTCGGCCTACTCCAGATTGATGGCCCAATAATGTGTCGCCTCTTCTTAACCACCCCGAAAGAGTTGGTCCTTTGGTGGTTTAACGGTATGTCAACAGAAACCATCTAAAGTTACTATGATTTTAAGAGACTATTCATTTCACACTTCTCAAACGTATAGAAGTCAAGGAAAGACTCATACACTCTGTTCAACCTCAAGCAAGGAGAAAATAATTGTCTGGGACCTACATCACCCACTTCCAGAATTATATGATGGAAGTTATAAATCTGAAGCAGGAAATAGGCAAAATAGCCTTGAAGCGAGGAGTTCAAAGCAAGCGATTCACGTATGACCTAAATCTGTTTAAACCTACTACTTTTGTAGAAGTGTTGGAGATGGAAAACGAGCACATACTCGCCGAGGAAGACCTCCAAGACTCTCAAAAGGTTTGGTTGGATTTATCCAACAGCCCATTAAAGAAGTGGAAAGAAAGAGGCGAACAACAAAGGGCAAAGGATAATCAGTCCACTGGTCTCCAAAACAACAACTCTCAGTCCCGAAATTATGGGAGAAATAACCGAGGCAACCATGACCGAAAGCAGCACTTCGATCAACAGTCAACTCAACATTATGATCGACCGCATGCTTACAAGGATATGAAAGGATTGATACCCCTCAATGTGTCGATGGCTAAAGTAGTTCAAGCCATCCAAAATAAAGACTACTTCAAGCCAACCCCATCACTTAAGATGCCCTCGGCCTTACGATATATGAAAAGGTATTGTCTGTACCGCTGTAACCACGGACACGACACATAGAAGTGTCTTCACCTCCGGAACCTAATCAAGGAACTCATCTACGCTGAAATCTTAACAAATTTGTAGTGATCGACACACATACACAATGACAGTGTAAAGCGCCAATAAGAGATCCCTCCAAGGGGCCTGTGACCCAACCCGCACTTACGTGTATTTTTAATCTCATTAATTATGCCAAAAAATATATCTCAATTTATAACTTGCGGCTGGTGTGAACACTTGCAATGATTTATGAATTGTATAATAGATTTTCACACTATAGGTACTACGCAAGTATACGTATCGTTTTAAGTAAAATAGGATTTTCTTTAAAAACCCCAGTATCAATCCTACAAGGAATGCAGTAACTCTTAAAATCATCTTACATAAATTATATTTAAATTGCAAATTAAAAAAATAAAAGATTTAAAATGATATGCTTACCAAAAATTATTATTAAAAGAGCTTAAAAAAGTATCAACTAAATGTAACAGCTTAGCAAAATATAACAAGTTTATATATTATGGAAAAGACTTTCCTCTTGCAAAGAGATTTTAATCTATGTAGTATTCAAATGATTTAAGACAAAATTGTAGTATTGTGACAAATAAAAGCATACATTATTCTTTAGCTTCTTTCGGTGCTTGCAAAGAACATTAGCTAACTTAAGGTTGATTCCTTAATATCTCGACTCCACAGCAGTGTTATCTAACCTCTCACCTCTAGAAGCCCCTAGCCTATGCCATCATAATGACTAAATCTCAGTGTCAGGGTACTAAACCTTAAGCCAAACAGATAAGAATCTAGTTTGTCACTCTAGATCTAACTAATTCTACGCCCATCAAAACTTATCTTCCTACTTATTTGCACTTCCCCTTAGGTGATCACAATGACTCTACCTAAAATGAAATGTGGTATCCACTAATTGGGTGAAATCATAGCCCTCCCAGGTCATTATGTTTCTCAACGGATTTTAACATCACAAGTGATCAATTTACAAAGTAAATGAAGATTCGGTGAAAATACCATCACAATTTTTTAAAAGTAAAAAAGAAATCTTTAAATTATTTTCATCCCACAAGATTAAGTCTCATATGCAAGGAGAAAGAAAGAGAATTAAAAAGGTAACTACTCAGAATTCATGGAGATTAAACAGAAACAAAACATCTGCATTGAAATATAAGTATTACAGTAAGAACTCAAACGATAAATACAAAGTACTTTATGTTTTCTCCCCAAGCAAACATCTGGAGTTTCCTCTAAGCAATCTCCAAACTTTTTCACACTAAAACACACTCGCACTTACACTTTAACATAAAATATGTAAAACCTAACTCACTATTGCCGCCCAATTGAAGTTTTGAGGCTCCGAAATGTCTCTAGATTCAATCAAATCCTTCTAATTAAATAGAAAACAGAAAATAACCAAGGGTTGTTTCAAACACCCCTCCAAAACTCGGTTAAATTTGATGTACCTTCTAAGTTACTGACACTATAACGTCAGTCTGGAGCGCTATAGCGCCCTTCTAACCGATCTGTGGCGCTATGGCGCCAAGGGGTGGCGCTATAGCGCCACACAAAAATCATCATTTTTGCTACATTTTTTCTAAATATTCATTTCATGTACCTGAAACTAAAAACATGCAAAACATATTCATTTAAAGTGCAATATCATAAAAAATGCACTAAACTTAAACGTTATTTATTCTCAAGTAACTTCTTATACTATTTAAAATTTATAACATGTGGTAGCAAATTTAACTTAAAGAAATCTATAATTTCTGCTTTATGAAATTCTATAGTGAAAGTTTATGTTTCTTTCTTTAAGATGATTCAAGTAGAATCAATTTTTTATTAGGCATATCTTCAAGTTTCTTCTCACATATTTTTTTTTCTTTTTGCTATTCTTTTTCTTTTTCTTTTAGGATTATTTTCAATCATTTCTTTTTCCCTATTTTTCTTTCTTTTTTCATATGTCATATGAGGATTAATTTATCTAGATAGTCTTTGATGATTTTGAACTCCACTATCCTCCTTTTAAAGTTAAAAATATCTCACATTTCTTTACTTTAACAAATGTTTATTAGCTTTAAAATTTTTCATAAAGTCTCAGCTCTTTCTTTCCAAGTATAAATCTAAGATCCTTAATATTTCAAAAAAATACAGTATTCTTTACTTTAAATAGTAAAAGCATAACTCCAAACCCTTCATATTAAACATCTTAATTCTAGAATTAACTTTTATTATTTAAAAACTTTTACTTAGGCTTTCTACAACTTTCATAAAATTAAAAATATAGTTTTTTTAAAGTTAAGTCTACATGCCACAGGTTATGTTACAAATAATTTTGAAAAATATAATTTATGAGGACAAAATAAGGTTTAGTTTAAAAAGAATTTTTTCCCCTCCCCCAAACTTAAATTTTTAAACTAATTTAAAGCAGGAGGGTTCACGAAGGAAGAGAAATTTTTTTTAAAATTTTAAAAATAGGGAAACTAATGCACGTACAAGTAGGAAAGACAAGTACTGAGTAGTGATAAACATAAGACGAGCATGCATAAAAACATAAAATAAGCATTACTCTAGCATTTAATGTGGAACGGAAAATAAACAGTGGAACTAACAGTTTAGCAGAAAAAAAAACTTAAAAGAAATTAAATACAAGCACATTACACATACGTACAACAAATCACTAACATAACAGAGTCCAAATTTTCAAACAA